ATACCGGCGTATTTAAGAAGAATAGTGTAAGCAGAACTACACACCCACATGAAAACAGCAGCGCAACCGGTGTTTATCATAGCAAAGGCAACGTATCATATGAATTTTGTGATCAGAGCACCGGAGTTTATGCGGTTAGAAGAAATCTCTAGCATTAATTATGATCATGGCTTGTCTTGAAAAACGAAGACAGTTTGATGTTCATCGTAGGAGAAGTCATACCGCAGGACTGTTGCTTAAATATATTAATATCAAAAGTTCAGGTCCTTCCTGTTCACACAGTCTATAGTGTAAAGTAGTTGCTTAAATATATTAATATCAAAAGTTCAGGTCCTTCCTGTTCACACAGTCTATAGTGTAAAGTAGTTGCTTAAATATATTAATATCAAAAGTTCAGGTCCTTCCTGTTCATACAATCTATAGCGTAAGGCTGGATAACATCAACGTGATGCATTTAATATGTTGCACTTTTGTAAGTGAATCACAACTGAAACTACACCAAATGCATGAGAAAGCGACTCAGTGTGTCCACGAGAAAGAGTTAACCTGTGGGATCAGTTTCAACCTCTCTCGATTGGTTCACTTCACTTTTCTTCAGTACTGAAGTGCACTGACAAATGATGGTTTCAGAGTCACGGCTTTAACCAAACTGCTGAAAATTATATGAATGAACGTAATAAAAAAAGAATGTGAAGTACAGATGCAATAATGCGAATTAAAAAAAAAACATCAATAAATGATACCCAACTGCAGCCAAAAATCGCTAGAAGTTTTACTACTGCAGGCTCTCACCTGTAGGAGTGCAGTTCCTGGCGAGCGCGTCCCCTGTGAAGCCTTCTGCGCAGCGTTCGCAGTGCGGCCCCGTAGTGTTGTTGATGCAGCTCAGGCAGTGGCCCGTGTCCGGGTGACAGATCCGAGGGGATATGCGGGGGTCTCCGTTCCCGCTGCAGTTACAGGGAAGGCAGATGCTGTCGGCGTTGTAGAAGCCATCACTACACTGCTCACAGTTGGGACCCTGGTATTCTGGCTTGCACTGGACACAGAAAGGCTGGCCACTTGAGTCTAAACACATAAAGAGACAAAGGAAGTTTAAGATTATAGACTAGATTCACTCACTATTTTCACAAAAATAACCAAAGAACTTCAGCTATGACAAAGGCATCTGAAGACCCAGAGTTTGTTTCATTTGGCCACCAGATGGCAGAATCTTTTAAGGATGTTGAGGACAGTATGAAGAGAAACTTAAGTCTTTGTTTATATTAGCCTATATTCAGTTGTCAGACGAACTTTTAACCTCCAATCATTTTGTAAATGTGTTATCACAAAGTTTTTTTTTTTCCTTTGCATTTGATAGCAGACCTAGTACTCAAACAACAGGCAAATCTGGCCTATGAAAAGGGCTGATGATTTCTTAAGGTTAAATTAAAAAAAAGTGAAGACACTCTTCCTCATGCACACAAAGAAAAAACTACTGCCTAAAGTCTTCAAAAGCACATTTGCTTCAAAACAAGCTTTTCTGAAGGATGACACATACTGCAGATAAACATCTTTCTTTTGTCTGATAACATAACTGATGTTTGTCATGTCAAAGAGAAGAAGAAAGAAGAAGAGAAAAAAAAAAAGAATATAAAATGTTTTAGAAATTTGCCACTTGTCCACAGGGAATGATGCTAAAGCATGAGATAATGTGATGAATGCATACTGTAAATGTAATTTTTCCATTTCTAGTGCAGCTAAGAACACAAACATGTTAAACTTTTCTGTATTCATTGAACAGAAATGTCACATGAAGGGTGGATACTGAAAGTAGATGTATATAGTGTGACCTGCTACTGCAATAAACTGCTTGCAACCAGATATGACATCATAAAATCAGCATGATGATTATATGACTACTGGGAAAGTACTGAGGAAATACTGAGAAATGTATCTAAAGTACTTGCAATTGCAATGCAACTATTATGCAAATTATTTTCAAGAGCAACATCACATTGTGGGACATTTCATTTTCTGACACTAAGGAAATTAGTTGTCATCTAGTGCTCATAAGAAGCGATTGCTTTCTGTGGAGAAAAAAAGAAGAGATGATCCAGAAGAGACACTTTTTAAAATCATTAATGAGCACAGCAGCCTCAACTAAACATGTTTTTCTCTCTCTTTCTTTTGGCAGAACTAATTGGCATGGCCAGACAGAATCTGTAAACCTTTTTTTTTTTGCATTTTCGTCACTGATTTTTTGGGGGGAGAATTTGAGGTTGCTCTCTTAGAGCGTATTTTTCCAGGATCCTTTGATGAATAGAAAGTTTAAAAGAGCAGCATTTTTGTCGGTCATCTTTTGTAAAATTATAAATGATTAATTTAATGCATCATTGCTGAATAAAAGTATTCATTTCTTTAAAATTGTACTGACTGCAAAATGTAACTAGTAGTGTACAACATTTTGAATGATAGGATGGCTTTGCAATCATTGACAGCCCTTTGTTTCACCAGTGCATTTCTAAACAATAACAAATAAGGACATGAATACAAAAGTCAAAGGCAACTCTTCCTCCATAAGAAGCTCAAAAAAACAAACAAAAAAAAAAATACTGTGCCCATCCAAATACAGATGGAAAAATACATGAGTTCAGAACTAGAAGAAGGAATCGATTTTATAACCTGCCCCAATAAAGTAGAGGTAAAATAAAAGGAAAGTAGAAGAGAAGAACTGAGGAGGAGGAAAGAAGAAAGGTACAGTTAAAGCAAAAACCAAGTTGAGCCATACAAAGAGAGAGAGAGAGAGACGCAATAAGACAGACTGTACACAGTACCTGCTGTGAATCAAATATATCTAGCAGAGGCAATTTTTATGTTACATACAGAGAGGGGCAGTGAATCAGGGGGCTCTATGACCCTCCTATCTTCATTTGCCCAGACTCAGCACCTGCATATGGCCGACAGCAGGATATAAAACCCAAACCTCCAGGCAGTGATGTAGACCCAGGGAATACTACACTAGAAGGACCAATTTTCCACATTTCTCAAGCATGAGGGCAATAACCATCATGGTAATATAATGACACAATGAAAGGATGGAGAGTGACTGAGGCAGAAAAGAGTCAATTTAGCTATATATCATCACGAAAAATCACGTAGGGACAAAGAGCTTGAGCTCCTCTGAGCTCTTTGAACTTAAAACGATCATTTCACTACAGAATTAAGAACATTCACACAAATTAAATGAACAAGAGAATGAAAGAACAAAGAGAAACAAAAAAGCTGAGCTGTTGGTGGTCAGAGTGAAATCAATGTAAACACACACAGATACTTCTTTTGTTTGGTCTCACCTGTATGTGTTTATTCCGGAAAGTCGTTTTCCGCTTCTTTTGTTGACAACAAACTTGACAAAAAATTCAGGAGTGCTTAGCAGTCCATATGTCCCAACATGTTAGAGCATACAAAGATTTCCGGCGACACAAAAGATATGCTTCCTCATGTAGCTGCGACTCGGACTCGTGACAATAATGTCTGAATTGAGGCTAGTCAATGTTTAACCATTTCATAATTGTATCGCCGGCAGAAGCTTCCGTAGTGTGGTGACTTTAACCTGATTGCTTTTTCAGCGCCACAAGCGTACACACAGACGCAAGCAACGTTTGACGCACCGAGCTCAAACAGGTATGGACATGCTCAAGGGCTACGGTCGTTCCAACAGTTTTTACACTTCCTGACCACAGTAAGAAAAAAAAACTCACAAATGAAACACAAACTGAAGATATAGTGAAGAATAAAGAGTGTATAATGTACCATAATATAATATAGTAACAAACTTAAATGGACAGTAAACTAGCCAAATTAGTAACCTGCTCTCTATATTACATATACTGTACATATACGAAGATTTCTTGTCTTATATTTTCATGTTTTAATATTTTAACAACTCGCTGCATGTTTCACTCTCTCAAACTCTGTCTATCACAAGGGCGGACATAAAGAACATAGCAGTGGCAAATAGCAGACTTTTCACAGACTGCTGAATCAAAGCTGAAGCTCTGGTGGAATTAAGCAGGCAACCTCTTCCAAATTATAGCAACTGACACTGCATGGCAGATAACAAGCCAACCAGTGCTAGGTCATTTCCAATGCAAATTCAGCTAGCATATGCAAATCAAACATGCATTTCACTAAGGAAATCTAACATGGGCAAGGAGAGCAGAGAGACTCTGTTCTAAAGGTTCCACTTGTAAAGAAAAAAGACATTACAAATTGCTGAAGAAATATCAGTTGAGAATGATTGAATGAGTATCTAAACTGCACTCACATGGCAGTTAAATTTTACAGCGACTGTGCAGCTTTTAGCAGCTTTCTGCCTTAAATAAAGTGAGACGTCCACAGAGTAACTCGGGGGAGGGAGCATATAATAATATAAACACACACCCCCCATTTAAAATGTTTGTAGTCTGTAAGATTTTTAATGTTTTTGACTAAAATCTCTTATGCTCAACAAGGCTGTATTTATTTGATCAAAAATGCAGTAAAAAACAGTAGTATTGTGAAATATTATTGGGTCAGTATCACTGTAGGGTGCCTTTTGGTGTCCTGTACATAAATAACCCATTTGCCATGATAACATAAAAATGACTATGAAAGGGTGTGTTATATTAGGCTAAGTTTTTATATTCATAACATAAGCATTACATGGCTCTTTAGATACATTTTCTAGATTTGTTTAGTTTTGTGTAAGATTGCCGTTGTAAAACTGTGACGAGAATTAGTCAGGCTCTCCATCTGAGACTGACACACAGATCCTTTTTGGCCTGATAAAAACAAATCATCCCTT